GGGGGGGGGGGGGGGGGGGGGGGGGGGGCTATAAATAGGCCCACACTAGCCTGGTGTTTCTCATGATGGGTAACTCCAGAGTGGAAAATGGTCTTGCCTTCCTCAAGGAGATTGTTTATGGAAACCACGCTGTGTAAAAATGAGCTTGACTGTATCTAGTCTGTACCTCTCAACCTTACAAAGCTCAGGCTCCTTCCCCACCAGAAAGGTGACTGTCCACGTCCCCAGCTTCAGAAAACTACGGTCAGAGCGCCATTGCCTTCTCCTTCATCTGCCACCCATAGTATAACACAACCAACCAACATAGCCCCTTGCAGGTGGTGGGCCCACAAAAAGGTAAATCCATGTTGTTCATTTAGGTCCTGTGGGTAGAGGCCCGGTCACCAGGCACTCGCAGATGAGCCCCTCCCTTAGGCCTGGCTCCAGGGTGGGGTCCTGGTAACCCATGGACAGGCGAGAGACATTGAGCTCTTTATTGTTTTCAGTCTATAGATGATTTTTAAAACAGCTGAGTATTAATTGTAATTTCAGTTAGGACCATCCTACTATGCTCAATGTATTTGATAACGAATGTTAAACAGCCCACAAAGCAGCTGGTAGTAAACTTTTAAATTACATTTCCTGTACTAGATTTTAATTACAGTTCATTCTTGTAGCTACATTGATATAGCTCTTTTTCACAGAGACAAAAGCTGACGTAAATATGGGTTCTGAAATAGTGGAAGGTTTGTATGTCACTGGAAAGAAGTTGAAATTGTTTACAGTATTTTTCATGAGATCCTGATGCCTGATGAGTTGAATGACCCCAGGGGGCTTAACTAAGAACACAGGTAAACAGTTGAGCCAGCTGCGTTGAGCTAAAAGTTTGAGTTTTCAGACTCAAAGAATAATTTCATGGAGCCTGGTTAGATCACCACAGAAACTGAAGTCATCACCTGCGCCAGAGCAAGTGATGACTTCTGTTTCAGCTTAAATTGTCAGTAAAATGCTCTGTCCATTTAATTATGTTTGTTTTAATGAGATCCCAAATAGAAAAATCAAACACTACATACATATTTTTTATAGTATACCTAATGCTGTAAGACTTTAAACACAGGATGTACTGTATGTATTTAAATTGGACCAGATCCTGTATATTTATTGATTATTTTTCTGATGTGAGTTTAATGACACTCACATTTATGATCACTCAGTGACAGTGTTAACAAAATTAACCAGCCAATTAGTTAAGACTAGTTAGGCTACCAGCTACTACAGAGCTAACAAACACAGATGTCTGACAAATTTCTACTCTTCTTCTTAACCTGTGAAGGTCTCAATTTTACTTACAAATCAAAACAAATCTGTTTTAAACTCACCCCACCGGCTGCAGCTCTGAGTCTCTCTGAGTTAACAACACAAACAGAATGAAGCAGCTTTTAACTTGAAGTCTGTGTCTCTTAAACATAGAAAGCTTATTCCATTATATTTAATTTGACTTGAACAGAGGTGGCGGTGGGGGTTTAGCTGCTGGCGTGCTGACATGTGCATGTTTGCTGAATTGCAGAGAGTGGGTGGAGATTTTATGCACTCTGTTTTTTTTAAATAGGGAATATTTCCACGTCTGCATAAAACAGTTCAATGTTATTTTTTTACTATAAAAATGACCAACAGATTCAGTAGAGCAAAGAAAAATTAAATCAACAATTTTATTTATTTATTCTATTGCTTAGATTTTATACAGGTTTATTGGTAAATAAAAGGAACTATTATGCCTCTTCTACAGATGAGTGGTTTGTGCATGTGTGACTGTGTACCTAACGCTCCAAAAAAGTCATTGCCCAGGAATGGAAAACCAGGCCGGTTAGCTAGGATGAGCATCCTGAAGTCTGGGTGCATGACGATGATGTTGGGCCTCCCATTTGCTTCGTGTGGATCTTTAAAAGAAACAAAATGAGTGTGCATGACCAACAAAAGCAGCAATGCAAGTGTTTCAGTAAGTTCATTACTATAGTTATAAAAATAAAATCAGGACAGTTGAGGTTATGTTCACATCCATCTGGTATTGAAAGACTCTCTGGAAATTAGTTTGGTAATATATGGAGAAACATGAAAACGATTCATTCTTCATCTGTCCAGCACAAATCAAAATCATCATCATCTTTGAGTGATTTAGAACTTTAGTTTTAATGGACTGTGTTAATCAATAGTCTATTTTTGGGACTAGTCAAAGTGTGGAGGCATACCTGAGATGATTCTGCGCCCATCAGCCAGGACCATTTCTCCGCTCTCCACCAGGGTTTTCAGGATGCAGGTGACATTAGTGGGAGCTTTGTCGGCCTCGTCAATCACAAGCACGTGTCCGAGCTTCACCGCCTTCACCTGATCACACACATTCTTTGTTCAACTAAGTGCAGCACAGGGTTGTTAATTTTTTATGTAATTAGTTAAAAAGAAGAAACAAGCACACGTCATTGAGTCAAAGTGGGAGGTATGACATCATCCACGCTCACTCTAAGTACAGGCACATCACAGGGTTGTGTCCTCAGCCCAGTCCTCTTCACTATTTTCACAAATTATTGCACCCCCATCTACCCCTTCAACACAATTGTGAAGTTTGCTGATTCCACCTCCATAGTGGGACTAGTGGGATGAGGTTCAGCATTTGGTCAGTTGGTGCTCTGGTAACAAACTGGTGCTAAATACCACCAAAATCAAAGAGATTATCGAGGATTTCAGGAGAGGAAGAAAAACACCCTACCCACCTCTGCACATAAATGGAAAGATGAAGAGGGCCACTAATATCAAATTCCTGGGTCTCCACATCACCTGTGATCTCACATGATCCATCAATACCTCCAATTTAGCGAAGAAGGCACAGCAAAGACTTTTCTTTCTGCGGAGGCTCAGAAAGGCCAAGCTCCCCACGCAACTCCTCAAGAACTTTTACAGAAGCACAGCTGAGAGCATTCTGGGTTACAGCCGCATGGTATGGTTCTCCAACTGCACCACTGAGGACAGGAACGAGTTGACCCAAATTGCGAAGACTGCAGCGAGAATTGTTGGTGCACATCTTCCCAGTCTGTACTCAGTTTATACATTCCAGCTAAGAACAGGGTCAGTAGAATTACCAGAGACCCCAACCACTCAGGACACAGACTGTTTGCCCCCTTTCCATCAGGGAAGAGACTGTTAAATCAAGAACAACCAGGCTGAGGAGCAGCTTCTTCCCCAGAGCTGTCACTTCAATCAACAATTGTTACAATTTTCTACCCGTCCGTCCGTCCGTTCATCCATCCATCCATCCAACCAACCATTTACTACTTGCTCCAACATCGGGTCACGGGGGCAGCAGCTTGAGCAGGGTGGCCCAAACATCTTTTTCCTGAGCCATCTCTTTCAGCTCTTCTGGGAGGACTCAAAGGCATTCCCATGTCAGCCAAGAGACGTAATCTCTCAACATATTTGAATGAATTTCTGTTTTAGTCTGAACTTAAAATTTTACTTTGTTTACTTTGCTTTTTTTTTTTTACTTTGCTAAAATTGAATAGTTTTCATTTTATACTATTTCTATCTTAACATGTGATTCTTGACCTGCCATTGTGTATCTGTTCCTCTTAAACTCAGCCGGTCGAAGCAGATGGCCGCTTGTCCTGACCCTCGTTCTGCTAAAAGTTTCTTCCTCATGAGGGAGTTTTTCCTTTCCACTGTCGCCTTCATGCTTGCTCAACATGAGAGTTCTGCAATGGAGTTAAATTCAAAGCAGTCTGCTCCTCAGATAAATAGTGTTAACTTATTACTTTCATATATAAATGTTTCTGTTCAGTGCCCTGACAACTTCTGTTGTGACTGGGTGCTATATAAATAAACTGAATTAAATTGAACTTATTAAAACCCTCACATACCACAGTTGAGTAACTGTAGAGCCTCTTTTATCTCACACTAAATGTGCTACAAAGGTTGGTTTTTTTTTACACAAGACCTAATACTGAGAGAGTTGAGCTGCTGTTGCAAAGATGTAGGACTTCAAGTACTTGGGGTCCACTGTCCAGGAAAATGGGGAATGTGGTAAAGAGGTGAAAAAGAGAGTCCAGGCAGGATGGAGAAAAGTTTCAGCAGTGATTTGTGACAAAAGGGTGTCAGCAAAGGTCAAGGAAAAGTTTACAAGACAGTGGTGAGAGCAGCTATGTTGTGTGGTCTGGAGACAGAGACATTGACAAAAAGACAGGAGAAAGAACTGGAAGTGGCAGAAATGAAGATGCTAAGGTTCTCCTTAGGAGTGACAAGGATGGATAAGATTAGGAACGAGATCATCAGAGGTACAGCACAGGTTGAACAACTGGGAGATAATGTTAGAGAGGCCAGACTGAGATGGTTTGGACATGTCCAGAGGAGGGACAGTGGTTTGGACATGTCCAGAGGAGGGACAGTGGTTTGGACATGTCCAGAGGAGGGACAATGAGTATATTGGTAGAAGGATGTTAGAAATGCAGCTGCCAGGAAAAAGACAAAGAGGATCTGTATGGATGCAGTTTGAGAGGACATGGAGGTAGTTGGAGTGAGGACAGAAGATGCAGAGGACAGAGAGAGATGGAGGAGGATGACTCACTGTGGAGACACCTGAATAGAGGAAAGCCGAAAGAAGAAGCAGAAGAAGAGAGTTGAGCTGCTGTTTGTGTGGCGGAAGTGCACTTTCAAAGCTTTTCTTACCAGTGACATAATATTTGCATTTAGAAAGTGAGCAGTTCAACATATCATTACAACTATTACTTATGAGGCATGAACAAACATCTCCTATTTTTATCACACAAGGTGGCCTTATGTGTGCAGGTAACCATACAAAATAGTTAGAGGATATTTTTGCACTGTGAACTGACCAGGGGTGAGTCCTCATACACAATGACACCGTCTTGCACTGAAGGCTGCAGGGTTAGACTCTGGACTGTTGTATCCCTGAGAGAGGATAGAGCTTGGTTACATACAAAAGCCAAGTAGAATCAAATATTTGCTATGGTAACAAGAAGAAGCATTAAAATTGTTGATAGTTTGATTTGGTGTAGCCTTCTGAAGTTTATGGCCACTTTATGCCTGCAGTGATTCCCACTTTTGTTTTTTGAAACCAGAAGTAGACATGGTTGAAAAACAGAAAACTCACAAGCCATGTTTATCTTGTTGAATGACATCTAAAATGAAATGCACCTAAGATGAAATGGTACAGTGGGTCATTATACACCCACTACACCAACACACTATTATAAATACATAGTAGGTTCATACAGAAAAAAGTTTGTTTCCCAATTTCAGAAATAAAGTTATGAAAAAAAAAGTCTAATTGATAGGAAAAAGTTGCAAAACATTTATAGCAGTCAAGCCTCAGATATAGCAAACCCCATCCTGTATAGCCTTTGTTTAACTTTTCCAATTTTACTAGTATTATAGCCGAGGGTTATGGTGTGCTTTTACTGAGTTAACGTCAACAGAACACAAAGCAGTTCATGAACATGTTCATATAGGGTTTATTACTCCTGCAGCAACGTCAATCCAACAGCAGAACTCACAGAATTTAATAAATAATGTTATTAACTTATTTTTATGTATGTGAATGTTTCTGTTCAGTGCCCTGAGATAACTTCTGCTGTGACTTGGCGCTGTATAAATAAACTGAATTAAACAGAATAGTGGGCACTGAAACCACTGGTCACTTCTTGGCTACGTACACTTGAACTGTAGTTTCACCCCTTGGTGCAATTTTGTCCGTTTTCAGGTTTAAATCTGACTGGTCTGCTAAGCTTGCAGAGTTTTTTCATAGGAATTTGAGCTTGCATGTGGTCAAGACAAAGTTGGGCAAACTTGGGAACTCCTGAAAAGCGCTGCCTCGGCGTCAACAGAAATAACTAGTTGATTTTTGATTGATTGTGGCTTTGATAAAGGGGTCTGGGTTGGAGTTCTTTCAATATGTAGAGAGGGTCAAGAAATATTTTTCTAACAGACTATTGACTAAAAGTTGATGTTAAAGTTTTAAGCAAAGGTGCTGGACAATGTGTTAGTGCTTGGAGTGTAAGTTAGGAATGAACCTCCACTTTTACTACATCAAGTTTTAGCTCAATATCTGTAAAGTGACTAAGTTATAACCATTTTTGTATTAGTTAATACTGGATAACTGTGGTGGCCACAGACCACCCTTCTTTTTATGAACACTACAACAAACCACTATCACATACACTATAAAGTGTAACCGAATGTGTCCCAGTTTCTTTGCTGACTGCATTTTTCTTACTTTTTTAAGCTACTTTTCTCTGTAGGCTTTCAGTCACAAGCTCCCAAAAGCCACATGCATTAACTCTCCTGCCTCTGTCCTGCTCTAATATTAGCTGCTGTTACAGTGGCTAACCAGGACACATCCATGAAAAGCTCTACTTTGACTTTCACAAGACTTTGACCCAGTTCACATTTGCAAGCTGAGTGGAGAAGCCAGCAAAATCAGTCTGTGAAAATCTGTTGCAGAAAATGGGTTATGGGTTTATCTGTTTGTTTGTTTTAAAATTATTGTTTAAGGTTTCCATAAATTAACAATCTGTTTACGATTTATCATCACTTAGCACCCGTGAGTCAAAGTCTTCTATTTCAAGTGTCTCAGTGCCAACGTTTCAGTGGAAATGTGGATTTTTTACAGCACACAACCCACTAATCCATTGACAAGCCACTCTGTCCTAATTTTCCTGAAAAGTGATTGTGTATTTATAGAATCTGAGAAACTGTGTTAACAGGGTCTTCTTAAAATAATTTCCTTTTAATAAGAGTATATAAGGTCCTTGTTCTGGTGAAGAATGGCCTAATTTACAAATGACCAAAATAGTTGATACCCTTAGATGAAAGGACAAGGCTGGCAGGAAAGACAGGGAAATACAGGCAGCTTACATCTTCCTCAAACAGGTTAGTTTCTTTCTTTTTCATGAGTGTTTAATGTCTAGAAAATTGGTTTTAAATGTTCTAATGCATAAACACAAAAAAACCCAGATATACATATATATTCACTATATATTCATTCTAGAGCCTGACAAATATGGAAATTTTGGTTATCACCAATAGCCAAATTACATTTGGAGGGAAAGGCAACCGCCAATAACCGATATAATAGCTGGAAATTTTTGAGTTTTGTCCACCCCCAAGAATCTAAGAAAACAGCTGAATGGGGCGGGGCTTGTTTATTTAGTGCAGCTGTTGGCAACCATGAAGCTAAGCTAATCAGATCCATGTTAAACCTAGTCCCATAGTAGGTTTACAAGTGGTGCATTGATCATAACAACAGGCTTCCTAACGTGCATTCACATTTTCTATCCTCCACTATTTACCATAAAGTTATCAAGTGTGTTACAAAAATATAAATTAAACAAAGAAATGCCCTTCCTTGTTCATCGTTTAAACAGTCAAGTCATGTACTCAGTCTCAGGCTGTGGTGCAGTTTTACGAATCATAGTATTAGCATTAGTATTGTTCCCTGCTTCATCTGTTCTAAATGTGAAAGTGAAACTTAACTGAATGGCCAGAAAATGAAAGTAGTCTTCATTCACACTCTGCTGGATACACTTTACAATTACAGCAGGTTCCCAGCATTTTTGGGGTGACAATTAGAAGTGCTTATATCAGTGAATATTGGGATAATTATAACCGATACCGATATGTCCCCACACGGCTATAAAGGCCTAAAATATCTGTCCCACCGATATATCGGTTGGTCAATTAATTCATTATTCTTTCATTTCCATTCCGGCTGTACAGAAGACTGTTGGAGTCAGCCTCCCCACCATCACAGACACCTACACCTCCAGATGCAGGAAAATGGCCACCTGCATCATGAAGGACCCTACTCACCCAGCACACACACCCTTTGCCCCGCTTCCCTCAGGAAGGAGGATGTGGAGCATTAAGTGCAGAACTACTAGAATGAGGAACCCTGAAGCTGTTAGACTCAAATCCCTAACCAGAAAAATCACTGTAATGCCACTATTTTGTGATATGTCACTTTATCCATGCTACTGATTTCTTGCCTTTAAGCTGCTGTATTCATACTTATCTGCTCACAACAGACTCGTGTTCAGGCTGCTGTTTAATACATTGTATTATATTACATTATTATTGTTCAGTGCATATCTTAGATTCTTGCATACAGTTTATGTTGTTATACTTTATATTTTTGCTATTTTTGGGTGTAACTGGGACTTTGAGTGCACAATTTCATTCCACCTTATGTACCACATGTGATGCGAATAAAATAATAAATGGAGAATTACACTCCTTACAACTTTTGGTTCAGAGAGACAGCAACTGTTTTTCAAAATAAGCTTGTGACAGTTTTGTGAAAATGTTGCTTTCCAAGAACATTTAACAAACATGTTGATTCTTCTCACCTATGGAGCTGTAGGTATTCCCTGGGTCTGTTGAGAAGGTGCAAAAATCTGTCCACTATTTTGTTTTTTCCTACTCCCTGTGGAGACAAAAAAACAAAACAAAAAAAAAAAGAATTTACTGACAGTAAATCTCATACAGAATATGGACAGAATGTGCATGGCAACATTCATATCAAAACATGCAAAAGAGTGCCTCTGGGGTGATGGCACATTATGGCCACTGCACCTCACTTGTCCTCCCTGTAGCTCAGCCTATCAGATCTGGATTAGGAGACACTCTTTGTCCCTGGTGGGTGCTACATGTGTCCTCATGCCAACAATGAGGCATTAGCGGGTAAAGTTGGAGGGTGACTTTGGGCTGCAGGCAGCTTGTTTCAAGCCTACCCTCCATGCTTAAATAAAGCTGACATGTGTGGTCAACTTCACAGAGACTGCATCCAAAACTAGACAGACCCATCTCTGAAAACACTAAATAACAGTAACTGCTACTAACAATAAAAAACCTTTTTTGGAAAATAGTTAAAAAATGTTTTTGTGAACAGAAAATTACAAAACTAAACCTGAATTTATTTTACTCACCTGGTTTCCCACCAAGAGAAGGTGCTCTCCTAAAAGAAAGTCTTTCAACATGTCCTCCATCACCATCATGTGCTGCAGACACACATACACACAACATACAACAAATAATTCAGAAATTATAATTTTGTGGATGGACAGATTTCAGTTGAACCTTTACAGTTTATAAATACATTTACACATTGTTAATGCTCAGCTTAATGTTTCTACTCCTTCTCATGCATCCCAATCCCATTCTAACAAAACAGGTTAAAAAGTGGGTCACCCTCCTTTCACTTATTATTTCTTAAACTCTATCTTTTTTTATCTCAGCCTCAAACACAAGCATGCAGAAAAAAAAGGCAGAGAGAGAAAGAGAGATAGAAGAATCTGGGTCGCACAGCATCATCTGTGTTGCCAGAGATGTCAGTCATTTCCTATGTCCAACAAAGTTAAGTCAGGTCCTCTGGACTGTCTCCTTTTGTTGAAACGTTTCGTCTTTCATCCAAAAGACTTCATCAGTCCGAGGAGCCACAACAAACCCAGTCTTAAATATAGCACCTTCACATAGTGGGTCAACCAGTTTGATGGTGATCAAATGGTTTCTGTAGTCCGCCCTCTCCCCCCACCAACTTGTTGGAAGCAGTCATGGCCAAAGTGGTTCAAAATATCCTGATCTATGATCAATAATCCAGGTAGAAAAATCCAACAAAGTTAAATCTAAGCTGACAATCAGTCAGCTCCTCGGACGGATGAAGTCTTTTGGATGAAAGACGAAACGTTTCACCAAAAAGAAACCGTCCAAAGGACCTGACTTATCTTTGTTGGATTTTTCTACCTAGAGGGAAGTGGGTTTGATTAGGCTGAGGTATAAATTTAACAGCACCATTCTAAATCAGTTAACAGTTCTCTTTTTTCTTTCTTGTTTTATTTGATTTTGTTGTCTTGCCTGTAAATTTAAATGTGCTGCGTAAATCAAAACATTTTTTGATTAACTAAATAAAAAGACAAAGTAACACATACGATACACATCATCCCGAGATAAATATGCAACGAAATCTCTGTTTAAAAATAAAATAAAACTAAAAATAACTTTTTCATTGGTTCTAATATTGCGTTTGCCATTCAATCAGAATCCTGCCCTGGAGAAAAACATCTAATTTCAGAAGCATTGGGTATATATGTTCAGAGCTGGCTAAGTCTGGGACATAAGGTGTATGTAGTTGTCTTCTTGTGTGCGATTACCTGGGGATTATCATAGAAGAGGACATCTGGAACCTTTATTCTCTGGTTGGGGTTGTGGACGGGAGCTGAAACCTTACCAATTTTCAACACACCATCATGCACCACACCTGCAGAATAACAAGGACCAGGCATCTTATTATTACAATTTGGTTGCAATGAAAAAAAGCAGCTTAAAGTAGAAACTTTTTCTGATCTCCAGTTGTATATTTGAGTGTCAACAGTGCCAAAAAAATCTCAACTTAAAAGCTGCTAACAGATAGACGGATACAGACAGACACACACACTGTGGCTCTGTGGTTTTGTATCAAATGTTTACTCATGCACAACACAAGTGTATTTTTGCTATTTATATTCCAACTAAAACAATTTTCTCTGACACCAGAGCTGATGTAGAGCTCATCTGCTGACACAGATCTGCTAGCATGGCAGCCACGCAGAATGCGGATTCCTAGCATCTTTCTCGACAATGCCAGACCTGTTGTCAATAACACAGAAACTAGAACTGCCGATGACTAGTAACACCACAGTTCAGGACTGTTGTGGTTATTATTACGGAACTGTGGAGCCTATAACTACTAAACCCTGATGCGGCTGTTCAGCTAACAGGCCGCAGTCTTTATTGCTATGACAGGACTGTTGACTTCAGTAAGACCCGTGGATAGGGACTCTGCATCTATGCACACAACTGGTGCATGAACAGCAGCTTTCTACATGTGACCATCATATGTAGACCATTCTACCTACCCAGAGCTGTCTGTGTAGTTAACATAGCCATGTACATGCCCCCAATACCAACACTAGTGTAGCCTTCTCTCTCCTGTATGATGTCATTAACAAACAGATGCAGGAATATCTTGAAGGAGCCTTCGGAGTGGCTGAGATTTCAACAAAGCCTGCCTTCAGTCTGTGCTTCCTAGACTTGTGCAATATGTACATTGCCCCAATAGAGGAGATGACATTTTAGACAATGTGTATTGTAACCTGAAGAATGCCTAAAGAACAGTACCTTTCCATGTTTGAATGTGATTCCATCAAAAGGATAATTAGCAGATTTGCCGTATTGTGTCCTGTCACTCTCAATCCATTCAACAGCTTGAAACAACTTTGAAGCAAATCTAAAGTGTGCTTTTAGCTCTCACATACTGACTACGTAACGTAACACATGCTAAATTGAACCAGTTTTCAAATCACCATCATATCAGGAAAAAAAATCAGTGTTGTTATAATAAATGCAACAAGACTTACAGGTTGGCCTATAAATCTCAGAGGAAATTTTATTTTCTGTAAAATTGTTTCTTATTTTTTATGGCTTGGTTAAATTTACTTTCTACGTATTTGCAGTTGTTTTATTACAACATGGATATATCAGGTCAGAGTTAGAGCATGTTTCATTTTAAATTATCCACAAGGTATTATAAAATAAGTGTATAGCCATTATTATAAACACTTTTAATAAATATGGTGGTCTACCATCAAAGGCTGAAACAAAAACCTGAAAAAACTCAAACAAAAAATTGATTACTATCTGCAAAATCTACTCAGAAATAAATGTTGAACATACAGCTATAATCACGATTGTGTTCAGCAGGATCCACTGTGTCTTGTATGGAGCAGCTGGTGAGGCTTTTTTCAAGACTGGCACGAGCCAGGCTGGGCAGGAACCTAAAACACATATTTAAAAAACATTTAATTTATACTGCAACCCAAACACATACAGTATAGAATGAAAAAAACAAGCAGGCAAATCCCCGGCATAACTCAAGACTGCTCAAACTCAGATAGGTCAAAATATAACTCATTTACTACTTTATTCATAAGCTCCAAATACAGACATCTTAAAAACTGAATCACTCAGAAAAAAAAAAAAAAAGAAAAAAAAGAAGCTACATTTAGCAAAGGGAGGTAACCTCCGATATAAGTATGTAATTAAGTCCACCGTTATTCTATAAAGTGGGGAGTGGTGGCGCAGAGGATAGAGAAGGTGGACCTGTGATCGGAAGGTCACCGGCTGAACTCTCCAGGCTGACAACATCAAAATGTGGGTGGGAAAGATGAAAAACCCACACCTGCCTCCATCATCATTGTCCCTACTCTGGGCCCTTGAGAAAGGCACTTAACCCCCACCATCTGCTCCCCTGTGTGCCCTAGATGGCAGCTATCAGCTCCACAAAGAGGGCTGTGGTAGCTTGGGTGTTCTGTAATTGTGTCAGAATGGGCATCTGGCGTAAAACAATTGCCAACTCTTCGTAGATGTTAGTTCGCTGTGGCGACCTTTGAAGAAGGGAGCAGCTGAAAGTGGAAGACAACTCTAGAGGCCAAATGAAATCCAACTGCATAAGTCAGTATCAAATGTGGCATATACCAAGGTGATGCACTGTCCCCAATACAATTCTGCATAGACCAGTACCCCCTCAATCAAATCACTGCTAAGAGTGGCTATGGATACCAGTTCCAAAGTGGAACAATAATCAGTCACCTCCTCTACATAGATGACATCAAGCTGTATGCCAAAAATGAGAGAGACATTGACTCACAGATCCACCTCACCAGGATATACAGTAAGGACATTGTAATGGCATTCAGACTGGATAAATGCAGTCAAATGGTATGCAAGAGAGGCAATGTGATCACAACTGAAGGGGTTGAACTACTTGAAGAAACGATTGCAGATGTCCAGGACAGCTACACATACAGTACCTTGGAATCCCACAAGCAAATGGGAATCATGAGGCCACTGGCCACATCCAAATACCTACTACAGAGACTAAGGAATGTCTTAAAAAGCCAGCTGAATGGCAAGAGCAAAGCCTGAGCTATCAACATGTATGCAGAGCCAGTCATTGCATACCCAGGTGGTATATTAGCCTGGCCAAAGGAGATAGAAGCCACTGACATCAAGACTCAAAAGCTCCTCACAATGCACAGAGGGTTTCACCTAAAGTCCAGCACCCTGAGACTATACACTTGAGAAAAGAGGGAGGCAGAGGACTAGTGAGCATCCGAGCCACTACAAAAGATAAAATGACCAAGGTCCTGGGGTACATTAGGAGGAAAGCCCTAGATGAAGATGTGATGGGTGAATTTCTCAGGCAGCAACAAAAACCTAATGTGGAAAAGGCAAAACAAGAGGAGCCATCATGGCATCATTCATCATCATTCATCAGGGTGACTGTGGCTGAGTGGTTGGAGCAGTCGTCCTTGAGTGCGAGAGTTGGGGGTTTGATTCCACTAGCAGTCACATGTCAAAGTGTCCCTGGGCAAGAAACTGAACCCCATAGCTTCCAATGTGTGTCCCACCAGTGTATGAATATGATAAAGCACTGATTATTCTTTGTAAAAAATATAGTAGAGTGCTGTATGAACGGGTAAATGAGGGCACAGATTGTGTTATAAAGCGCTTTGAGTATCTCAATAAGATAGAAAGGCGCTATATAAGTGCAGTCCATTTCATAAGCCCCTGAATGACAAAATACCACAGGCAGATTGAGGAAGGGGCTGATATCAACAAATTCTACCTGTGGTTAGAGAGGGCTGGACTGAAGGACAGCACAGAGGCATTAATCATGGCAGCACAAGAACAGGTCTTCAGCACAAGAGCAATAGAGGCCAGAGTCTATCATACCAGAAAAGAGCCAAGATGCAGTCTGTGCAAGTAGGCCCCTGAGACAGTCCATCACATAATAGCAGGGTGTAAGATCCAGGGAGGCAAAGCATACGTGGAATGCTGTAACCTAGTGGCTGGAATAATACAAAGGAAAATCTGTGCCGAGTATGGACTGGAGGTTCCACATTCAAAACGGGCGATGTCACCAAGGGTGGTGGCGAATGGACAGGTTAAGATACTGTAGGACTTCCAGATCCAAACCGACAAACCAGTGATAAGTAACCCACCGGACATTGTGGTGGTTGACAAACAAGAGAAGAAGGCAGTGGTGATAGATGTGGCAATCCCAAGTGACTGTAATTTTAGGAAAAGGGAGCACAAGAAGCTTGAGAAATGACAAGGACCAAAAAAAGAAATACAGAAATTGTGAAGAGTCTATAGAGTCAGAGCATCAAAACTCCCAGAGGTCATTGAGGCACTTGGTGCTGTGACCCCCAAACTGAAAGAGTGGCTCCAACAGACACCAGGAAACAACCTCAGAGAACTCTGTCCAAAAGAGTGCAGTCCTGGGAAGAACTAAGATACTGAGTAGAACCCTCAAACAATATTGATAATTTACAAAATCACAAATGTAAAAGAAATTTCAACAAAAACTAAAAAAGCATACAGGTGCTGGTCATAAAATTAAAATATCATGAAAAAGTTGATTGATTTCAATAATTCCATTCAAAATGTGAAACTTGTATATTATATTCATTCATTACACACAGACTGATATATTTCACATGTTTATTTCTTTTAATGTTGATGATTATAACTGATAACTAATGAAAACCCCAAATTCAGTATCTCAGAAAATTAGAATATTGTGAAAAGGTTCAATATTGAGGGCAGCACGGTGGCACAACTGATAGAGCTGCTGCCTCTCAAAAAGAAGGTTACCGGTTCAAATCCTGGTCCGAGGATCATTCTGGGTGGAGTTTGAATGTTCTCTACATGCATGCATGGGTTTTCTCCGGGTGCTCCAGTTTCCTCCCACAGACCAAAAACATGCATGTTAGGCTGATTGTAACTCTAAATTGTCCGTAGGTGTGAGTGAGAGAGTGAATGGTTGTTTGTCTTGTTTGTCTCTTTGTGGCCCTGTGATGGACTTACGACTTGTCCAGGGTGTACCTCGCACCTCACACTGATTGCTGGACATGGGCACCGGCAACCCCTGTGACCCAAAATAGAAGAAGCAGGTAAAAGATATACGTAAAGATGGATGGATGGATGGACGGATAGATGGATGGATGGTTCAATATTGAATGGTAAATGGTAAATGGACTGTACTTATATAGCACCTTTCTATCTTATTCCAAGATACTCAAAGCACTTTACAACACAATCTGTGCCTCATTTACCCATTCATACAACACGCTATTAAATCTCTACAAAGCTAATTGAACAAATCATTCTAAAGAGACTAATCAGTGCTTTAGATCACATTCATACACTGATGGGACACACATCAGAGGCTATGAGAAGTTCAGTGTCTTGCCCAGGGACACTTGGACATTTGACTGCTGGTGGATTCGAACCCCCAACGCTCGCATTGGAGGACGACTGCTCTAACCACTCACCCACAGCCACCCCAAGACACCTAGTGCCACAGTCTAATCAGCTAATTTGCTCAAAACACCTGCAAAGGCCAATAAATTGTCTCCCAGTCTAGTTCTGTGGGCTACACAATCATGGGGAAGACTGCTGACTTGACAGTTAAATGGTAAATGGACTGTACTTATAGCGCATTTCTATCTGATCAAGATACTCAAAGCGTTTTACACTACAATCTGTGCCTCATTTACCCATTCATACAACACTCTACTATATATCTACAAAGCTAATTGAACAAATCATTCTAAAGAGACTAATCAGTGCTTTATCACATTCATACACCGATGGGACACACATCAGAGGCAATGAGGGGTTCGGTGTCTTGGCCAGGGACACTTTAGCATGTGACTGCTGGTGGATTAGAACCCTCAACTCTTGCATTGGAGGACAACTGCTCTAACCACTCAGCCACAGCCTCCCTCCCAGTTGTCCAAAATACGACCACTGACACCTTGCACAAGGAGGGCAAGACACAAAAGGTCATTGCTAAAGAGGCTGACTGTTCACAAAGCTCTGTATCAAGCACATTAATAGAGGAGAAGGGAAGGAAACGATGTGGTAGAAAAAAGTGTACAAGCAATAGGTATAACCACACCCTGGAGAGGATTGTGACACAAAACCCATTCCAAAATGTGGGGGAGATTCACAAAGAGTGGACTGCAGCTGGAGTCAGTGCTTCAAGAACCACCATGCTCAGACGTATGCAAGACAAGGGGTTCAGCTGTCACATTCCTTGTGTCAAGTCACTCTTGAACAAGAGACAGCATCAGAAGCATCTCACCTGGGACTGCTGCTGAGTGGTCCAAAGTTATGTTCTCTGATGAAAGTAAATTTTGTACGTCTTTTGAAAATCAAGGTCCCAGATTCTGGAGGAAAAGAGGAGAGGCACAGAATCCATGTTGCTTGAGGTCCAGTGTCAAGTTTCCACATTAACTCATGGTTTTGGGGGGGGGGGGGGGGGGGCATGTCATCTGCTGGTGTTGGTCCACTGTGTTTTCTGAGGTCCAAGGTCAACACAGCCGTCTACCAGGAAATTTTAGAGCACTTCCTGCTTCCTGCTGCTTACCAACTTTATGGAGATGAAGATTTCATTTTCCAACAAGACTTGGCACCTGCACACAGTGTCAAAGCTACCAGTGCCTGGTTTAAAGACCATGGTATCCCTGTTCTTAATTGGCCAGCAAACTCGCCTGACCTTAACCCCATAGAAAATCTATGAGGTATGGTGAAGAGGAAGATGCAGTAAGCCAAACCCAACAATTCAGAAGAGCTGAAGGCCACTATCAAAGCAACCTGGGCTCTCATAACATCTGAGCAGTGCCACCACAGACTGATCGACTCCATGCCACACCACACTGCTGCAGTCGAGGCAAAAGGAGCAACAACGAAGTACTGAGTGCTGTACATGCGCATACTTTTCATGTTCATACTTTTCAGTTGGCCAGCATTTCTAAAAATCATTTTTTTAATTGGTCTTAAGTAATATTGTAATTTTCTGAGATACTGAATTTGGGGGTTTCATTAGTTGTCAGTTATAATCATCAACATAAAAAAATAAACATTTGAAATATGTGTGTCAGTCTGTGTGTAATGAATTAATATAATGTACAAGTTTCACTTTTTGAATGGAATTGCTAAAATAAATCAACTTTTTCATGATATTCTAATTTATGACCAGCACCTGTAGATAAATAAGCCATTTCAGTAAACTTCTAACAGAGTGGTCACTGTTTGTGTGAGTTTGGTCCAACTTCACCATTACTAATGGCAGAAAGCATGTATTTATGCTATGAAGTTTAAGAATTTTATTACCAGTATGTATCTATCTTATCTTGTGACGTGGTATTGCACAAAGTGATTGTAGGAGACAATATTTTAACAGAAATCTGCTAATTTCCAGTGCGGTTTTCACTGAATTTTGAGTGTTTGTATTTAATTTGTTAATACTTGTTCCTGTTTACATCCACCAGATTTGATCCCAACTTTTTTGTTTGTTTCTGAAGTCTTGTCTTTTTTCTAATATAAATGGGAGACAGAGTGCAGATAATAACATAACTTTTTGCTGTAACTGGAGATTTTAAATGGAATTAATGTCCATCAAATTTGATTAGTATAAAACTGAAAGCCACCGTTTTTAAGAAAATTATGTTTGTTTTTTTTTATCAGAAAAGAGTAGAATATTTTGTAAAGAGAAAGCAATTAGTGTGTGTGTTTGCAAGCACCTGGAGAGACAAGCTTTATTGACTGCATGAAAAATTCTCTCCTCTGGGTACTGAGAGAGGCGGCGACAGATCCTAAGTAGCTGTCTGGTTGAGAGGGAAGAGGCCAGAGACTGCATCTAGAAAAGCAAGTCATACACAGGCATGATATATCTGAGGGCATGAATGGAAAAAGTGGTAAAAGTAAACCAACTTACTGTCGGGTCATTTGTCCGGCGGAGACTGTGCGTGAGGTGTAACAACTGCTCGGCTGCTTCTTTTGGAACATTCGGAGTCTATTTTTTAAGTAAACAATAAATAGGATTTAAAAAAGAAGCAAAACAGAAATAATAAGTGATATGTGAGAAGAAATAAAAGTGAGGTTTTGTGTGTAGGACTCACCAGTCCCTCTATGAGAAACATCTCCTCTGCTTTGGCCAGCGGGGCAACGGTGTGGTAAAGGAACATAGAGAGCAGCTCTGGCCCCAACCACTGCTGACCTCTGCTGTTACTGCTGCCTGAACGGACCCCCACAGTGGGGGGCTCTGCCAGAGCTAGCACTCTGAACGATGGATGGATAGGGAAGATGGACCTGATAACACACACACATGCTAGATAACAGATCCACAGCTGCAGTGTTGGATGCTGATGAACAACTGTTCAACTGTGTCTAAAAAGATGTGTGAGAGGCGCTTAAATGGAGTGTGTCAAGGGTCCATTAGTAAGGATCCCACCAAGTCAATGTCAGTGTCAAGAGCATGACTTCTGACAGCTACATGTGAATTCCTCTGACTGAAGAGGACAGCAAAGTTAATTTCATGTGAACCACAGAGACACCCAATCTGGACCATTTTAATCTACAGCAGTCACACACTACATCCTTATAAATGATGCCAGTTCTAAGAAGGCTAGACAGTTTTGTACAATGTAAAGGAAAAACAGAATACAATAATTTGCAAATCTTTTTAACCCATACTTTATACAAAATGGAACATAGAAAACAGCAACTGTTGAAACTTGGAAATTGTACCCTTTTTTAATTTAAATAGGCACTAGAAAAACATTGGTTACGTACTGTAACCCCAGATTCTATGAGTATAGGCGTAGCCCTTTAAGACTGTCGCTAGTGGGTTTATCCCTAGGCGCGCAGCGCTGCACTGAAAAAAACTTTGAAAAAACTAGCAACAGTCTTAAAGGGCGAAGCCTATACGAAATAGAACTTGAGTGTGTAACGGTTAAAGCTGTTGAATAAAATCTGTGACACAGGAAAGATCCTAGAAGATATGAGCAAATGAACATCCATTGCTCTTTCCAAGAAACCTGTAGCTGTGGAATACGAACAACATTGTAGATTATCAATGTGATGAGCTACATCACCAAATTAATTATGTGGATTATCTTGATGAGAATGAGAAACTAGATCTGACACCAAAAAGGAGAAGAACAGTGTGGGTTTGTTGAAAAAAAAAAAAAAAGGCACATTCTGAAGATAACTGCATAAAAAGTTATTGGAAGTACCAGTGCTTGTGCTTCATCAGTTACAGTATACATAACGTGTAAGACACATCCACACATGAACATCTGATTAGAACTAAATGTGAATGGGAGAGATCAAATAATCATAAATAACATTTATTGGTAACAAACAGCTGCAATAAGATATCAAAACAGACTTGGAAAGCCTGTGAAGATTCAGAGAGGAGTGTGTCAAGGTTGTGTCTTGTCCACAGATCTGTTCTCCTTATATAGAGTAAGTGATGAGAACCATAGAAGGAGCAGCATCAAAACCAGGGGTAAAAACATTAACTTACATTATGCTGATGCTACAGTTCTCATGGCCACTAATGAGGGAGATCTACAACACATATTAACATCACAGAAGGCAAGAAAGTTGACGTCAGCATCAACCTCAAAAGAACAGAAACTGATAATCACAAAGAAGAGAGAAATACAAGTGTGTAACATTAACAGACCCCAGAAAGAGCCTGACAAGTCTATGTCTCTCTTTGAAGACCAGAAAGACACTGCTGGAGTGTGACATCATCCTCATTTGGAAATATGCAAGTGAAGAAAACATCAGTAAGAGGACTGTTCATATGTCTTTCAAGAGGCTGAATTTCACAAATGGGCAGTTTGTGAAGAACAGAGTCAGAAAATACTGGAACAAATTCAGAATAATGATCCTCCAAGGAAAAATGGTAGAACTTTGAATATCTCTTTAACAGCAGTTTATATCATTATATCAAATGCTTTAAAAAATCTAGAAAACTGTTTGCACAAAGAAAAAGACCAAATGTAAACGATGAATGCAGGTGATCTTCAGGCCTTTGGGCGACATTGCTTTAAACAGGTATGATTCTGTTGTGGATATCACTGCATGGGCTCTGGAACACTTTTACATTTTGTCTGTAAAGACAGATTGTCGTGCCACCCATAAATGCTGGTAAAGCTCTACCACGCAAAAAAAAAAAAACTTCAGTGACGTGACACTTTGCTCCTCTGGATTTACATACTTTATTCTGATTTAGTCTCACAACTAATGGTAATTGTTTTGTATCATCCCAATTAATGTTCCTCCCTGACATTGTATTTAGTACATGTAAGCAAAAGCATATATACAGTAGTCCCTCGTTTATCGCGAGTGTCTGGGACCATGCCCACCCGTGATAAGTGAAAAAACGCAAAGTAAAGATACAATAGTCCCAGTTCAAGTTCATGTCAAGTTAAGTTCAAGTTCAATAAACTTAGTCATGACATGTGCCAGGCTGTAATCACACTCAATCATCACCTATTACTTCCAATCTCCCTCCTTAAATAAACAATTTAAATACTGTAACATTTTAAATAAACAATCCATGCAGCATGGATTATTTATTTAAAATGTTACAGTATTTAAATTTAAATTGTAGAGAAGAGAAGAGAAGTGCAGCAGGACATCAAAGGGATGTCACACAGCTTCATCTCTGCAGCACGGAGCAAAAATGTACTTTTTGATCAATTACACTGAAACAACTGAACACAGAAGTTCTAAAATAATTAAAAATAACTTTTAACACTTTTATATTTTGTGATTATGACGATTTTACAATGTGACACTTTGAATTTTAAGTTTGAAAACAAACACCGATCGATCGGTGCATCTGGACAGCAAAGGGCCTTTCACAAAGCTGCTGCAGGAGAAATGTGTGTGCGTGGCAGAGAAAGAGATCAGCTGATCAGCTGCAGGAGGGAGCCTTCCCTTGCACTTGTGGGCTGCACACACAGTGCAAAATCCATCCATCCATCCATCATCTTTTACCCGCTTCTACCATTTTGGGTCACGGGGGTCACCGGTGCCCATGTCCAATAATCACTGTGCGAGGGGTGGGGTACACCCTGGACGGGTCTCCAGTCCATCACAGGGACACATAGAGACAAACGAGACAACCATTCACTCTCTCACTCACACCTAGGGACAATTTAGTTACCAATCAGCCTAACATGCATGTTTTTGGTCTGTGGGAGGAAACCGGAGTACCCGGAGAAAACCCACGGATGCACGGAGAGAACATGCAAACTCCACCCACAAAGGCCTCCGGACCGGGATTTGAACCAACAACCTTCTCTCTCTCTCTCTCTCTCTCTCTCTCTCTCTCTCTCT